CACACAGAAATGTTCAAGTTTTAGTGAAATATTTTGTGACAGAATGACTGTATGTACGTAATATGTTGAGAGATAAAATAACCTTAGTATCAATCCAAAACTGTGTAAATTGTGAAGCATTCTTAAATATGAAATGAACGAAGTACGTAACTTTTCGTATTTGAGATTATTTCATGTTTCGAAACTATAACGGATTACGTTGAATTATTAGATTAATAAGATTAAATAAAAATTAAGAGTTCTTTGACATTCATAACTATTTTACAATGCTAAAAATAATTTAATTATCCAAGCCGAAATGCAATAAGAGTCTACGTATAATATATTTTTAAAAAAACAGCAACCTGCTACCTTTAAATTTAGTTAGAATTAAATAACATATAGACAATACAATATAAATTCACAACAGACATAATTTTATGATTTAAATAAGTTCTGAAGAAAACACCGACGACATGGTACAGGATTTTAAAATGTAAAAAAATAAAAAATAAAGGAGCAAACCGAAATACGAAACGACGTAGACATTTTAAAGAAATGTATCAAATTTCTGACATGTGAAACAAGTCGACATTTTAACGCAAGACGGAAAAACCAATAAAAATCGATCTTCACGGAGCCATAACTGTGTTTACTACAACAATAATGACGATATGGCTTAACTTTTAATTTGTAACGAAGTTAATCCGTAACAAATCCAACAAGAATTGGGCCATGAAAAGACCTACTGTACAACAATATAAATATTTTAACAAGTTTTAGCGAAATACATTCATAATTTCATTTCTAAATTAGACGGTGTTATAAATAACTGAATCTATCTTCACAGAAGTCATAATTTGATTATGTCTAACATAAATCTGATCAGAATCTTTAACTCAGAAAAAAAAACACTAACATAAAATTTTAAACCGAAGCACAAATAAACTATTTTCACAGAACTGCACAATCCACCAAACGAAATCCCCAAACCACCTTGCAGACACTTGGAGCACACACTTCTCGGAGATCGAGGATTGTTGTTGTTGTTATTGGGAGGGGGTGTCACTCTCACTGCTCGTGGCACACGTTCGGCCGCGCGAGGCCGACACACACACTGAACTAACTGATCTGTGCGCGCGAGAGGTTGGCCACAACACAGCAGCGCCAACGGGGAAGCCACCTCCTAGGCAAGACAGGTGATCTGACCAGGAACACAGAAACCCTCATCACGATCAACGTCCTTGTACTTCGTACTCGGAAGTTTTCAGGTTTAAATCCCAACCGGAAGACTACCTATCCTCATACATTTTCACTCCTTCCAGGAATATGGACCTGCCGGATTTGTATTGCATGTAACAACACAGGATCTGCTTAGCGGCGAATATAAAAGCCTGATTAAGTGTGGTTATCAGCATTGTGTACCAGTAAAGCTACAGATTTTTACTCGGGTGAAAACCTATTCGAACACCAATCAATTTACCAGCTATCGTCACTGAACGATTTTCTAGTTTTCCTCAGTACCTGAATACAAATGACATTAACGCCACAAAAAATAAGCCAAAGTTTCACATGATCCCCATTTGTACATTTTTATAACATAGAAGAAAATTCATACAAAAATTTCTGACAAATTTATAGCCCCAAATCATCAAAAATTCCACCGAGACCTTTATTACTAAAATCTGCCCTTAGTCCAAATATTCTCTCGACACTCTCTCCCCAAACGCCCCCAATCTATGTTCTTCCATTGTAATGGCTGTTTCTTAGTTTACTATTTCACAATTCACAATTTCTCAATAAATTTAAAAAGAACTGCAAAACTGCAGTCCTTGGATACGAACATAATGTAGTAACTAACAGATAAATAAGAAGATACAGTTGTTACATCACCGAACCTGGATGAAACTGCGTGGGTGAGAATTATTACTTAAAAACAACTACTACAAAGGCATCTTCATGTTACAAAACACAACGAATCAAATATCTGCAGAGAAACAGCGTATTATGTTAGATTCTATATTTAGATATTTGTTAGAAATATCGCTAATAACAGCGTTGTAGCCACGACTGCATATCCGAGTACTTACGTATTGTGCTTAAGTGTGAGTTTGTACGTCCTTGCCGAGGTAAAACCTTGAAAAGGAAAACGTGAAAGGAAAAGAGGGCCTACCCATGGAATTTATCAGTGGTTGTACACTGTGCAGAGGACAAAAATCAAAATATACAACGGAGTTCTGTGTGTGTGTGTGTGGGGGGGGGGCTACTCTTCAATTTAAAGGCTAATACGCAAAAGACGAAAAAGAAAATCTATACTTACCTTAACAAAGAAGCAGGAAATTGACTTGAATAATAATTAGTAACGCATCATTACTCCTCAATGGTTTAACACAGAGCACATTGATTACACTAAAGTGGAATCCTTGCACAAGATTCGCTTCAAGTAATATTTCGCGTACACATGTTTCTTCCTCAACAAACTATCATTTTCTTTGATGTGATGCTAAGAGAGACCGCGACGTCCCCTACCGTGACATGTGTGTTTCGTGAGCCTAGAAGATGCAGCCATTCAATTTGGCGCAAAATTTAAAGCTGTTACTTTCACTACCTGATTATAATCATTGTATCTCATAGCAAAATGCTACTGATTTCACTAATCGAATAGCGATGGTTTTAACACCTCATCTAATAAGAATAAACTGCAACTACCTAAAATCACTGACCTCAATTTGTCGATGTAGATTTTAAATCCATTGTGAACAAAATGCGACTATTAAACCTAACAGAACAAATGTTGTGATCCAGTAGTTAGTACTCTTGCATCTTATTCAGGATGTCCCGGGTCTATATCTCGACCCGGAAATAGGCCATCTTGCTGTTTAGGGAACAAACAGCTGCTTACGCTGAGAATCATACGAAACCCGTAACTACGCAATGATGTTAAAGCATATAATACGTATAGCTACCACTGGGCTTTAAAAGATTAAATTAGGCCACGACCGCATCCTTGTATATCCTTTCCAACTAAATATTCACTACCCAGCCTGTCATTCGACGCTGTATATTGTGGAAAACTGCCGGCCGCTGTGGCAACGCGGTCTGAGGCATGGACCTCGTGAGCCTGGCCGCTGGGACCGTGGGCTCGAGTCCCACTCAAGGCGTCTTTCTGTGTTTGCATAGGTAGAGGCCTTGCGTCGGGCTGATCACTCATCCAAGGAGTCCTACCATTGTACAAATAGATCAAAATGAAAAAATAAAAACCTCGACACCTACGGGTAAAAGTGAATGAGAGAAAGAAAAACAATGTTGTGAAAAACAGAAGTCGTTAAATAAACAATAAAAGTAATGAAATACATTAACCTTACAGCCTCCATCAAGATGGCATAAACGCTGCATTTGGCCGGAAGGAAATGTCAGCGCATATTCCCAAAGTCATATTTCATCTTTCGTGGACATCTGCAGAGGAGAAAATTCTGCCAACTGTTTGAATCATAATATTAAAACGATTTTATCCGTTCTACAAAAAATCCTTTCAGCATAGCGTATTTATGGTTATTTAGTTTAAATACGAATTCGTTTTATTTTCACCCTATTCGATTCACAAGTCAGCAAAATGTTTTCAGCAAACAGAAGGGGAAAAATGCATGTAACTCTTACCTTAGAAATTCCTTTCAAAAGAAAGACAGACCTGCGAGTGACAGTGTGTTCCCACAGACACCTTTTCAGAATACTGCGTTAGGAGCACATGACAGACTGGCATGCACTTACGATTCACACAGGCCGAGTGGCTCATGAAAACTGCTTCGATTGGCTTCTAAGCTGCTGACTAACTTGGCTACTGTTGCGAATTCAGGGGCCTACAATTCCTCCTACCGCTATTATTTCTTGTATCTGTTAGATAATTTAAAGAAACAAGCACATGAGACTTTTTGACGGCTTACATAAAATTTAAATGTTTGTGTATGTAAGGAAATCGTAAAACTAGAAGAAAAGCAGTGGTATTATCACAACATGAGGCCACAAGTAATGCACCTCCACCTTACGAACAAACTAACAGTGTAAACGCATCAAGATAAAGATGGCTGCCTTCTGGGTTCTTGCGCCGTGTAGTTCCGTAAGGGAACTACATATGACATCATGGAAAAGTGGACAAGAACTACTGGCTAGGAATGGGTTTTCTAGTGAAAATAGATCTTCAGCGGGCAGTTAGAAAAGTAGAATTTGTTAATAATAAGCTGTTATATATGCTTTATCATAAAAAGAATTCTACATACAAAAATATCCTGAAATGAAAACACCAACCAAATATGGAAGCACTTGTAGTACAAATACGAGTTTTTACTTGATATATTTAAGAAATGTAACAAAGGTAGTCAGCATTACTAACGGTTAATGAGCCCGATTCTAAGCCTTAGATAACGTTTGCTTAGCGCTAAGATGTCTGTAATACGTCGGAGACTGGTTTGAACGTGATGAGACTTGGCCAGTTACCTGCGTCTGTCTTTACTACAGATAAGGCGAAATGCGCGCATAAGAACAAAAAAGACCAGAAGACTTCTACGTCGTCCTGGTTACTTAAAAGTGAAACAAGTCAAAACGTTTCAGCGCAAAAGACTCTGGCGGGTTTCATAATTATACGTCTAAATCTGTGGCGTGTCTCTGCGACTGTATGCGTGTATGACACCTTACTTACATCAAATGAAAATTATTATATTTTATTCTGGGTATTTTTACAATACCCTTTGGCCACACGAC